AGAGATATCCCATTTTTTCTCTGCCCGCACACAACAGCCTCCATCATTATCAACACCCCCACCAGAGCAGTACATTTATCACAATTGATGAACCTACAGTGACACATCATCATCACCCAGAGTCCATAGTTTATATTAGGGGTCATTTTTGGTGGTGTACATTTTATGGATTGGGACAAATTTACAATGACATGTATCCACCAGGATAGTATCATACAGAATAGTTTCACTGCCCCAAAAGTCTTATGTGATCCATCTATTCATCCCTCTCTTACCTCTAACCCCTAGCAAGCTTTGATCCTTTTATTGTCTCCATAGGTTTGCCTTTTCCAGATTGTCATATAGTTGGAATAATACAGTATTTAGTCTTTTCAGATTGGCTTCTTTCACTTAGTAATAGCATTTAGGTTTCTTCTATTTCTTTTCATGGCTTGATAGCTCATTCTTTTTAGTGCCGAATAGTATTTCATTGTCTGAATGTACCATAGTTTATTTATCCATTCCCTAATCATGGATATTATGGTTGTTTCCAAGTTTTGGCAATTATGAATAAAGCTGCTATAAACATTCATGTGCAAGTTTTTGTGTGGACATGAGTTTTCAACTTTTGGGTAAATACCAAGAAGCATGATTGCTTGATTGTGTGGTAAGTGTGTTTAGTTTAGTAAGAAACTGCTAAAGTGTCTTCCAAATTTCCTGTACCGTTTTGCATTCCCACCAGCAATGAATGAGAGTTCCTCTTGCTCCTCATCCTTGTCAGCATTTGCTGTTGTCAGTGTTTGAATTTTGGCCATTCTAATAGGTGTGTAGTGTTATCTCATTGTTGCTTTAGTTTATATTTCCCTGATGACATATGATGTAGAACATTTTTTATATGCTTATTTGCTGTCTATATATCTTCTTTGGTGAGGTGTCTGTTAGGGTCTTTGGCCCATTTAAAAAATTAGGTTGCTTTCTTATTATTGAATTTTAAGTTCCTTGTATATTTTGGGTAACAGTCTTTTATCAGGTATGTTTTTTGCAAGTATGTTCTCTCAGTCTGTGGCTTGTGTTTTCATTCTCTTGACACTGCCTTTTGCAGAGCAGACATTTTTAATTTTAATGAAATCCCACATATCAATTCTTTCTTTCATGGATTGTGCCTTTGGTGTCATGAACAAAAAATCATCACCAAACCCAAGGTCATCTGTGTTATCTTCTAGGAGTTTTACAGTTTTTCATTTTACATTTAGGTCTATGATTCATTTTGAGTTAATTGCTAAGGGTGTAAGGTCTGTGTCTGAACACTTTTCGCGTTTCATGTGGTACTGGCAAATGTGTTACTCAGCGAAATTCATTGGTGCTAGAATTGTTGAGTTTCCTCAGAATAAGAAGAATTTGCTGTCAGACCACTCAAGCTTTGCTAGACTCACTTCAGGACTTCATGCATAAAAGTGAGGTTTAATGAGAAGCCTGCATCATAAGAAAATGTCACTTCTGAGTTATATTTAAGGTCAGGTTATATTCACTGATGACAAGGCTTTTGAACAGAGCCAATGTTGTAGCATCTGTTGTGTAGTTCCACTTCTTTGGAATGGACAATATATTTGGGGCTTGGGAAAGGGAAGGAGAAAAAAAGGAAGTAAGCAACTCGAGGGATGTCTTAGTCTCTTCAGGCTACTATAACAAAATACCATGAACTGGGTAGCTTACAAACAACAGAAATTTGTTTGTGACAGTTTTGGAAGCTGGGAAATCCAAGATCAAGGCCCCAGCAGATTTGGTGTCTAGTAAGGGCACACTTTTTTGTAGACAGACATCTCACTGTAACCTCCCATGGTGGAAGGGGCAAGGCAGCTTTCTGGGGCCTTTTTTATAAGGGCACTAATCCCATTCATGAGGGCTCATCCTTCACCATCTGATCACCTCGCAAAGGGCTCCACTTCCTAATACTTGGGGTTTAGGATTTCAACATATGAATCTGGAGGGGACACAAACGTTCATACCAAAGCATGGGATGAATTGAAGGAGAAGGAGAGGGGTTACAGCCCTAATTGTGACCATGGGAAGTGTCAAATTACTAGGTGCTTTCTGTTCTGGTTTTAATTTTTACCGAAAGAGCAAAACACTGGTGTGCTAACTGAGCACATAACCAGGTTTATGTCATGGTCTATGGGGAGGCTTGGAGAACAGAGATATAATTCAACCTAGGGTTGAAGGGATGGAACGTGGGGGTTCAGGCAGATAAAATGGTCCCTTGACTGATCCTAGATCTTAGTGCATAGAGGCATGTGGAAGGTCATCATGTTATCTGACTCTTGAGCAGAGCCCACAACCTGAAGTTAGTGTTGCCTTTAGGAATTCCGCATGTGTAATGGAAGACCACTTTTTATGCAAAGAAGTTCTATTTCTAAAAAAGAGTGCCTCCATAAATGGTACTTGTATTTGATTTGACATAGACTATGCCTCTATTCCTTCAGGTATACTTAAATTTCACAGTAGTTTAGATTTTATGAAACCTATCTTTTCTCCCTAAAAGAAATATCCTAAAAGTTCTTCCTTTAATTGTATATGAAAATAATCATGATTCATAACTTGATTGGGTGCTCAGTATTTGCCAAAACTATATGTGCATTCTCTCCATATTCTAGTGCCTAGTACTAATGACCATTGTAGCAATTAACAAAATAAAATGGCATTTTCCTTTAATGACTCAATTTTTTAGATGGTAGTTTGTGTGTTATCCAGAGTACTGTTTTTCCTTGTGGTTATTTCCATGTCTGTCAAGTACTAGACAGTTTAGAAATGGAGATGGAATGCTAATCTACTGTGTTTATGTTGCTTCTGAGTAATGCCTCTGGAACTTTCTGATGAGGGAGGAATCAAGTAACTAATTATTCAGAGACATCATTTATCTATGCTGTTTCCTTTACCTCTATCACTTGCTTCTCTTGGCTGACTTAATTGCAAGTAGTCTGTGTTATTATTCATTCCAGAAACTGTACTTAAAAAACTGATCTTTAGGGCCGAGCCCGTGGCACACTCGGGAGAGTGCGGCGCTGGGAGTGCAGCAGCGCTCCTGCTGCGGGTTCGGATCCTATATAGGGATGACTGGTGCGCTCAGAGCGCTCACTGGCTGAGCGCAGCGCTGCCGGTCTCAAAAAAGGACAAAAAAAAAAAATTATCTTTATATTACTAACCCTGCAGTACAAAAATGATAAGTGATGTAAATAGTAAACTGAATGACCTGCCCCAAGTCACCAGTGACTCAAAGAGGTGGAGCAGGAATTTATGACGCTAAAAAGGACAACTGGTGCCAGACTTTCCTGACATTTTATTTTATATGTTGCCCCAGATCATACTGGCCTCTAATTTATATCATCGAAAGATTATATTTTAAAATACAAGTTACTGTAGGAAAGTCACTGTAAAAAGGACAACTGGTGCCAGACTTTCCTGACATTTTATTTTATATGTTGCCCCAGATCATACTGGCCTCTAATTTATATCATCGAAAGATTATATTTTAAAATACAAGTTACTGTAGGAAAGTCACTGTCAAGCCTAGTGGTCAACAACTGCAAATAATTTCTTAATTTATGGTATGTTGTTATAAAGTAATGCATCAGTTCCTAGTTGTTCTATGCATCGCAAGAATGCCACCAGTTCTATTACTACCTAGTCAATAGGGAACACCTGGAAGAATTAATTTGGAATTGTCATTTCTTATAACCTGCTCAATTCTTTTCTGGCTCCTCAGCTAGTGATTAAAGAAAAACAACATGGACAGGAAGGGAGAAAGCCTTCCTTCCTACATAGTTTTCAGTATACAAGTTAGAAATTAGGAATCTTGGAGTAACAGTTCTAGAAAATGCCTAAAGTAGACAAAGTGGTTTTAGTGTCTATATTAAATTGTCTAAAGATCTTTGCATGAAGAAACTATGAAAACAGAAAAACATCTTTTGGCAGATTAAATCTTCGTAAACCACTGTTTTGTAATTTTGAAATCCTGTTGAACAGCATTCTGAAGGTTATTAAATCAGGACTTTTGTCTTTTATTTTTAGCACACTCAAGTGTATATATAAATCTCTGGAATGTTGAAGGAGTGACATTCTGCAAACTTCAGAATTTTTTTCTGTTGCCCATTTGAAGAGGAGACCAGTAAATTAGGAATGTTTGATTCTTTTTCCTCTATTTGCTTTCCTTGTAGAGCTCTGTTATAGAATAAAGAATTGTTTTTTGTGGATGGATTATTGAAAAGGAAAATCACTGTTTCAAGATACTATTTTCTGACAATAATTAATGATTAATTAACCAAACTAGCGTTAATAGAAAGGCATTATTATAGTATTAAACTTCAACATGTCCTGGCATTGTTATGAGTGGACAACAACAAAAAGGAATTCATAATAATATAGATTTAGAACCAAAATTATACTCAGTTGCAGTTTCAAAGTTGAGTTTCTTTTTTAGTGTTTAGAAAATGAAGACACAGATATCATTGCAGTATCTGCCAAATTAACATAAACTTGTTCAATATCAGATTCTGAGATAACTGTTAGCTACTTTTGGGGAGTTCTGGTACATTTAATTTAATTTTCACCCAGTCATTTTGCTGTGGTAACAAAGCAGTCAGTCATGGGCTTGAATGAATTACCAGTAAGAACTAGTTGACTATTTGGATGAGTTCCTCTGTAGCCTTTAAATATGGCAAAATAATGTGGTTTTGAAGCTGTCTTTTAAAATAAGAATCAGCTTAAGGGGGGAAAAAAAATCAATGAAAACGATTAATAGAAAAAAGTATTCTTAGGGCCAAGTGAACTAAATTAGTATGAAGGAAAGATTCTTAAACTGGCTATTGAAACAGATCTAAATGTTTGCTTTCTGATGGGCTATTGGATCTGAATAACACTTTGGGGGATGGAATAGTGATATATGATTTTTGAGAATGTTAAAAAGAACACTAACTTGATATTGGCATTCTTGTAATTGTGTATATTATTTCTTTATTTACTTTCAGTTTGATTAATAAGCTTAAACCCGGTGTCATTAAGAAGATCAATAGACTGTCCACACCAATAGCAGGTTTGGTAAGTAATAAATTATCTTCAAAACTAGATTTCTTTGTCTTTGAAATGTAAAAGTGTGGGTATAGGCAGATTCTCTCATTTGCAGTTAACGGTAGAAATTAGGTTAGGGTTTTTTTGCTCAAGAAAAGTGTTTTTAGTAATGTCTTCTTTATATCTTTAGTTCTTTTCTTTGTTTTCCTTCTGCTGGGATGCTTTCATTTTATTTATTTAGTTTTTGTTGGTTTTTGTGTCTGCAGACTTCTTATGTCCCCTTTCTTCCCCAAATTGCATTTGTTTAAGGTCACATTGTTTCTGAAGTCCAGCCCTGCATAGGTTGTTTGCTAGTGGGCCACAATGGCTCCCCGAGCTGTCAGGGATCACCAGTTGTTGTATTTCTGCTACTTCATGCTTATGTGTTACCCTCAGCACACAGATCTTAAGTGTATTTGCAAAATACCGAAGACCTGTCAGTTCTTTTGCTTTGTAGAATAGGTTTCCTACCAATGTCCTGTGTAATGTTGTCACTGTCTTCCTCTTTGACAAGGTAATGTTATCCATAAAATAACTGTGATGATTCTCTAGATTCCCTCTAGCTTTAAATTCAGGATTTTGTTTATGAAAAATACCCACACTGTGACTATGTAGCTATTCTGATGGGTCAAGACACTGGAGAGACCAATAATGACATGGAGCTGTGTCTTTAGAAATAATTTATAGTTAAATACAAATGATGGATAATGCTGATGTTAGGAGTCAGCTAAAAAAAATTAACTTTACAAAACACTGAAGCTTAGGACAGCTAATAATTGGGATGTAAGAGCAAACTATTATCTTTGGCATATTCACACTATTTATAATACATTTAGGAAATTTCTGTTTGCCCATTCATGTATTTATAGGTGTTAAAGACATGAAGGTAGTAGTACCAACATTTCTGGGTTTTCAGGAGGCGTGGACATCTCATCAAAATCTTGGCAGGGATAAGTTGGTTGCAGAGTGTTTATAACTGGGGAAAATATGTATGAGAGAAGGGATGAAAAGTTTTTATAGTTTTCTTTTGAAATACTGTAGAATATATATAAAGTGCCTAGAGTAATTTCACTCAAATATTACTTTCTTCCTTCTTACCAAGTTGCCTCTATTCTATATCTATCATGAATAGGTAGCTGACCTGATTTTTTTAAAGACAATTTATTATACATACGTGTGGGGTACAACATTGATTTTCAGTAGCTGTGTACAATGTGTGATGGTTACATTAGGACAGTTAGCTTATTCATCATTACAATAGGCAGTCATTCTTTGTGAATTGTAGTATATGGACCTGATATTTTTATTGGCCTCAAATTTGGTTAGGTAAAATCTTCCACACACACACATGCACACACGTGTGGATACTTAAAAAAGTTTGTGGAAAAATGGAATTAAAAGATAATATGACTGTTTCCATGAACTTTTAAAAGACCCCTTGTATATTATATATACACACACACACAAGTATATAAAATCTTCTAGTAATATAGTAAGTCAGAAGATACTTAAGGAATAAAATTAAGGAAATTTGATATTTGAAGTCTTGCTAGGAGGAAGCATTTAATTTAATAAAACAAATATGCTTTATATGAAAATGACTTTTATAAAATAACTACTTTGGAAACTTAAAGTTTGAATTGTATTTTCAAATGGCTTGAGTTATTCTTAAGTAGTTTAATGCCTTGATTTTAAACTGTCATTTTTTTGGAACAATTACATGCATTTTAAATGAAATTAGCCTTCGTTCTTAAACATCCTGCATATTTGGAATTCTTGGATTGTGGTGTTTGTTGTTGTTGGCCACTTGAGATTTTATTCAGTTTTCTGATTGTATGATTAGATGAAAGCACAAATATATTTTATTTTTAAATCCAAAGATCTTTCCAAGTATTTTTATTTCAAGCATCAGATATTCTATCTAGTTTAGATATTATCTCTAGAAACTAAAGTGAAATGTATTTCTGGTATATTAAATAGAATGATTTCCCAAATATAGGACACTGAGCATTTTCAATTGGATGTAGGAGCATAAGAGTGACCACAGCTGCAGAACTGGGCTAACTAAGTCCAATTGGTTTGAAGTTATCATTATGATTCATTTAACTCCTTCTGATGCTTGTCAAGATGGTCATATCGAAACTTCCCAAGGCCTTAATTTCAAGTGTGAATTAGAGCTCCAGTATCTACCTGGAAGCATTGTTATGAGGATTCAAAGGGATAATGTGTACATAGTCTTATATACAGATATTCAGTGAATGTTCTTTCAACAAATAGAGTGCTTATTAAGTCAAGGATTTTTCTAGTTTATAGGGATGTATTGGAGGAACAAAGACAGATACAGACCTTGACCTCAAAGAGCTTACATTCTAGTGTGGGAGGGGACCAGGCAGATAAATGAGCAAATGATCAAGAAAGCACCACGTAATAAACGTGCTACTGAGAATTACAGTAGACTTTGACATTTATTGAACACCCGTGAGCAGTTGTGTGGAATTATGATGATTGACCTCTAAAAATTCCTCAAGAAGGAGTATGTCAGAAGCCTTAGTTTTTGACCTTTATTAGAAGAAAGATGAATCTGAGCTAGATTCTTAGGTGTTCATAGCACCTAACATAGTGACTGATGCATGTGGGAGATAAAAAAATTTTTTTAAATGAACAAGATTTCTGTTGTGAAAAATAATAGTTTCTAGAATTGTTTTTTTTTTTTTTTTTGTCTTTTGTCTTTTTCCGTGTCCGGCAACGGATCGCAACCCTCAGTGTTGCCCCCGTACCGGACCGGGGACCAGCAACGGGATTGCAACCCTCGGTGTTGCTCCCGCGCCTCGCTCAGCCAGTGAGCGGGAACCGGTCTGTATGTGGGATCCGAACCCTCGGATGGGAGCGCTGCCGTGCTTCCCAAGCGGCGCACTTATCCAGTGCGCCACCGGGCCGGCCCTAGAATTGGTTTTTGATGGGATCGTGTTATAGTTTGAATTGTGTCCCCTCCAAAAAGATACACTGAAGTCCTAAACCCCAGTAGCTCAGAATGTGACCTTATTTTTGGAATTTTTTATGTTGCTGATAATGTAATTAGTTAAAATGAGCTCATACTGGGTAGGGTGGGCCCCTAATCTAATCTGACTGGTGTCCTAAAAAGATGGCCATGTTAAGACAGACACAGAGGAAGAGTACCAGGTGAAGAAGTCAGGATTGTAGTGATGTATCTACAAGCCAAAGAAGACCAAAGATTGCTGGCAAACCACTGGAAGCTAGGAAGAGACCAGGAAAATTCCATTACAGATTTTGTAAGGAACATAGCTTTGCCAATACGTTGATTTTGGACACTGGAACTATAAATTTCTTCTGATTTAAGCCACCCAGTTTTTGGTACTTTGTTATGGCAGCCCTAGGGAACTAATACACATAGGTAAATGTTTTAGTTAATTCTTGCTTTTTAAAAAACTCTTTATTTTGAAATTAATATAGATTCACAGGAAGTTGCAAAAAACAGTACAAAGAGGTCCTCTGTACCCTTTACCTAGTATCCCCCAAGGTACTATCTTCTGTAACTGTAGTACAGTATTAAAACCAGGAAACTGACATTGGTATAGTTCAAAGACCTTTATCATATTTCATTAGTTTTACATATAGTAAATACTTTTTTAGTACAAAGCACAGAGATGCTTTTCACATAAGTCAGATGAAGAATGTTTTATTTTAAGGGTTTACCAAAAGCCTCTCCTATTAAGTGTTAAGCCATAAACATGGCAGCCGCATTTCGCATGATTCCTTTTTTTTTTTTCCAAACAGGAGACTTTCTCTGGTGTCTGTTAGTTGAGGTTCCCCAGAGAGGAATCTGAATTGATAAGGTTATCTTTTCTCTCTAGGCTGCAGATATCATAGGTCACTGGCCAGCCTGTGGATGAGCTCCAGAAGATAATCATATGGGCCAAATGGGCTGTGGTCAGGAGTGTTGGTTTCCATTGGCTCATTGAGTTCAGGCATATGGGTTGAAGTGGGTTCTGTGAAGGAGATTTGTATGGGGTACATATACTATGGTAAGTCAAATACAGTAAGAATTTTGGCGTGAGGGTTCAGGCTGAGCAGTTATGGTGTTCCACACTCCTCTTTCACTGCTCCTTTCTTACTCTCTGTCCTTTAGCCATACTTTTTATCCGTCAGCTATCATGTGTATTTAGCTTTGAAGCCAAGGCAATGGATTTACTCTTTGCAGACAGACCTGTGGGAAAAACACAGAGTATCCCTTGAGCAATGGCAGTATGGAAAAAGATGTTTAGGTGATTTAGAAATATATTGAATGCTCTGCTTGAAACATTCATGTGATTAGTTGGGAGGGTAGTAACCTTGTTCTCCTAAATCTTTTCTTCTAAAGATACGGTTTTTCTCACTTGACTGAGATTTATTTTATAAAGAAATACACTCTTCCTGTCTTTTCTTTTCTTTCTATTCTTCACAAAGTCGTGTTAAGAAAAAAATTAGTTGGTGTGAAATGCTGGTACATTCAAATTATTGAAACTCAGAACTTAAATTTTATTTAGGAATAAAAAAGAACTCAACCTCAAAACAAAGCCGTGAGAAACAGGCAAGATATACCGATGGTGAAAAGAGCTGTTGAATCAGAGTAATGTTTACCATCTGATATAGAAGTGTTAGAGGGAGCGTAATACAATATGTGTAGAAATATCAAGGAATTTATTAATCCTAAGGTTTATAGTCATCTTGGACCCCTAATGATTTATTTGCATTTAGCTAAAGCAAGTTTTCTTAGCTTTAGCACTATTGACATTTTGGGCCAGATAATTCTTTGCTGTGGAGGTCTGTCCTGTACACTGCTGTGGAGGTCTGTCCTGTAGAATCTTTAGTAGCATCCCTGTCCTCTACTCACTGGAGGCCAGAAACACACTTCCCTTTTGCCTTATTTGTGACAGCTAAAAATGTCTCCAGATATTGCCTATGAGCCCCTAAAATTGTTCCTGATTGAGAGC